CATATATGCACAGACCCATATATGCACAGACCCATATATGCACAGACAAACCAATACACGCACACACTCAAACATACATACACAGACACAAACATACACTCACACGTGCACACATACACAGACTAACACATATGTACACCACACATACATGCACACTCTAATCTCTTTGAATAGGGTCACGGGATCATTTAGTCCTCCCGAGACAGCAAGTGTGGTTTAAAATCACAACACAGCACCTCCGACAGTGCAGCACTCCAACTTCAACCAGAGGTGTAAATCTCTGCAGCATGCCAAGAACGCTGTAGCTTTCTGACTTGAGGGCACCTGTCAGAACTGAGTTTACAAAGGGACAACCTTACTGCCTTTGTTAGGATGCCAGCCTTTAACCTGGAACTGGGGGACACAGAGCAAGCAGGGATAGCTGAGTGAGAAAGGCTGCCTGAAGAGTGCGGGAAAGATGACCAAAGGGTTTCTAGATACTAGCACTGTCTAGGACAGGAAAATAACGTTGGAGGTAAGTGATGTGCCATAGTCTAGAATAACAGCAGGCCTGAAGGGCTGAATAGCCTTCTCCTATGAAGAGACAGGCAACAATCTGGACATCGAGTGAGAGGTGATGGTGTATTGGTACCTCTTCACGGTGCGGAGCAGTGTGGAGCGAGCTTCATTATGGAAGGTGATGATGACACTGGTGACCGGTAAGTCCTGGCTGTACTGAAGAGAGGAGCACCTGAAAAACACAGAAACAGGGCTGGTTATAATGGAGAGCTCATGAGCTGAAACACAGCAGTAAGACCCTCAATAGAGGATCTTTTCTGCCTTTCGTTACTTTACTATTATCATCGGCGCTCACTTCGACGTCAGCACCACAGAGTATTTCACTAATGAACCTCATCGCAGACCTTTTGTTCTGTTGCTCCCTGTCTTGTCTCCCACTGGCTCGATTATATTTCCTGTCTTCCTCAGATTTGATTAAAGTTCACCCTGTTTCTCTCTCCGCAGATACTGCCACACCAATTGACTATTGCCAGCATCTACAATGTTTTCTATTCAATTTGGAGATGAACGCTGACTTCATTAATGGCGATCACGCCAAATATATATCAGTACAAAATAAAAATGCCCCAATATACATATTATCAGTAACAGTCTTTACACAGTCAGGTAGTAACTCCACTGTGTCAAAAGACACAACCTTCCATCCATTGACTCCATCTACATTTCTTGCTGCCTCGGGAAGGCAGCCAACATAATCAAAGACCCCTCCCACCCGGTTATACTCTTCCACCCTCTTCCGTCGGGCAGAAGGTACAAAAGCTTAAGCACACGTACCAACAAATTCAAGAACAGCTTGTTCCCTGCTGTTATTAGACTTTTGAATGGACCTTTCAAATTTCAGATTTAATGTTGATCTTGCTCTTTGTGCGCCCTCTCTACAACCGTAACATTGTACTCCTCGCTCTGTTCTATTATCCATATGCATGTGGTATGGTATGATCTTCCTATACGGCACGCAAAACAAAACTTTTCACTGTACCTAGGTACATGTGACAATAATAAATCAAATACAAATCATTTGGAAATTAACGACAAGGTTTTTTTTACAATATAACATACATTTCACTTACTGGAAAGCTGCTTTCTGTGGCAGAGAATTCCATAGGCTCACCACTCTCTGGTGAAGACATTTCTCCTCACCTCAGCCCTAAATAGCCTATCCCGTATCCTTAGACTGTGAGCCCTGGTTCTGGATCCCCCTGGTCATTGGGAACATCCATCCTGTGTTTACTATGTCTAGTCTTGTTCAAATTTTGTAAGTTTGTACAAGATTTCCCCTCATTCTTAACTCCAACAGAAAGAGTCCTAACTGATCCACTCTCTCTTCGTACATCAGTCCTGCCGTAAGTCTGATGACACTTACAGATAATTTGGAATAAAGTCTATTTTTTTGCAAAATAAAAGGTTATTTATAGTGAGGCCCACTGGTAAAGGTTACCTGCACAGCGGTCCTGGCTTGTCCTTTGATTATTTAGTAAGGAGAACTCTAACTGTAGTTCAAAGTAGTTTGAAATAAAAACCAAAATAAGCCTGCTTTTTTTAAGCACATGGAGTTTAGGAGAATATATTACAATTACATGCAGTTGTATTGCAGGCAGTTCAGAGGAGGTTCACTCAATTAATTCCAGAGATGAGGAATTTGTCTTATGAAGAGAGGCTGAGCAGCTTAGGTCTGTACCTTCTGGAGTTTAGACGAATGAGAGATCTAATTGCTACATATGAAATGCTGAAGGGGATTGACAAAGTAGACATGGGAAGGACGTTTCCTCAGGTGGGGCATAGGTTATAGTCTTAGGATAAGGAATCAGAGGAATTCACTACCCCAGAGTGCGGTCCATGCTGGTACATAAATTTAAGGAGAGCAACAGATTTTTAATTAGCAATGGGTTGAAGGGTAATGCGGAATGGATGTTGAGGCCAAGATGAGATCATCAATGATCATACTGAATAGTGGAGGAAGCTCGAACAGAGTCATAGAGTTGGACAGCACAGAAACAGACACCACTGTCTAATTCATCAAGATATCCTAAATCAATCTAGTCCCATTTACCAGCATTTGACCCATATCCCTCTAAACTCTCTTATTCATGTACACTTCCAGATGTTATAATTGAAAACACCACTTCCTCTGGCAGCTCATTCCATACACACACTACCCTCTGCATGAAAAAGTTGCTCCTTAGGTCCCTTATAAATCTTTCCACCCTCACCTTAAACCTATGCCATCTAGTTTTAGACTCCCCCGACCCTGGGAAAAAGACCAATTCCTGCTCCTAGGTCTTATCCTTTTGGCCACTTATCACAAAGCAAAAGATGTGAAAGAGTGAACTCAGTCTGATCTAATCCGACATCAATGCAACTTTTGCCTATGTGCTCATTCTTTCTCATGTCTCCAGCTCCCTTGTCTTTACATATTTCTCTCTCTCTCTCTCTCTCTCCATTTCTTGTTTGTGTCCCTCTTCCGTCCTCCCTCCCAATCACATCATCACTCAGTTTTTGAATTTGCCTTGGTATGGAGACAGAGCAGTGAGATTGATGACACAGAACGTGACCCTCTGCCCTCCAGACGAGACTCGGAGCTGTCTCTCTCACAGACTCAGTAAGGCCACTGTCAGATGTTACTTCTGAGCTCAGGAGAACAGAGACCTTTGTAAACAATTGCTCTCGTGGTCCTGCATGGACTGGAATGTCCTGCTTTCAGTTACAGAGGGCCAGACTCCAAGGCGATTCCCAGTACAAGCTCCTAGACAGGCATCGAGCAAGCAAATCAGGAATCCCACACGGAGTCCCAAAGCTGGAGGCCCCGAGTGAACTCGGAACGGAGCGGAACCAACAAAGGCAGCTCCCACCTCGGGTGCCCACCGCAACACCAGGATCCCATGAACTTAACAGTCTCTTTTGCAAATTGCTGGGGGCTAATAAATATCCTTTCACATGAAAGGGCAGGGAGGGACCTGCCCCCAGCTCTGCTCCCCCTTCTAAACTGCAGCCATGGGGTCAGGCTGGCAGGGGGTGGGGGGCGTCTTCATCCCCAGTTGACACCTCATCTGAAAGCCAGCACCTCTGACACTGCAGCTCCCTCCCACCCCCACAGTATTGCATCAATGTATTTGAAGGAAGCTAGCGAAAGGTATGTAGGTTCTGCTGATGGGGAGTCACGTGGAGCTGAATGGCTGGTCTTTCACACTGTGTACTGTCTGTACCTCAGGCACAGTACTGGAGTGTCAGTTGAGTGAGCGAGATGTGAACCTGTGGGCCTTTGACTGCGAGCCACTATTCCAGAGTTCAGAAAGGATATTATCGAGCTGGAGAGGGTTCAGAAAAGATTTACCAGGATGTTGCCAGGAATGGAGGGTTTGAGTTATGGGGGTGGGAGGGGTTGGAGAAAAGCTGGAATTTTTTTCACTGGAGCCTACGAGGTTGACTTATAGAGGTTTACAAAATCATGGTGGGCATACAGAAGCTAAATGGCAGGTGGATTTTCCCTGGAGTGGGGGATTTCAAGACTAGGGAGCATATTTTTAAGGTGAGAGGAGAAAGATTTAAAAAAGACATGAAGGGCAAGTGTTTTTATCGCCCCCCCACACAAAAAGTGGTTAGTGAGTGGAACGAACTGCCAGACGAAGTGGTGGATGCGGGTACAGTTACAATGTTTAAAAGAGATTTGGTGAAGAATGGTTTTGAATAAGAAATGCTTGGATGGGATATGGGCGAAGTGCAGGTAGGTGGGACTAGTTTAGTTGGGATTACGCATCAGCATGAACTAGATGGGCCAAAGGGTCTGTTTCTGTGCTGTATGACTCTACGACTCGATGGGTGACAGTCTAGAGGTTTGCTGCACTATTACACAGGGCAGCGATGCTGGGAAAGATTCGCAGGTTAACCACACCTAAGTGTTGATCTAAGTGCTCCCAAAATCTGACGTGGAAGTGCCAGTTTTACTGAGTGCTCCAACTCTCGTCTGCTGCTCAAGTGTCTAAAAGCTGCTCTGAAACTCCCGAGCAGTGGATGCACTGAACGCTCAAAATGACAAAGGAAGCCATTCCATCCACCACCTCCATACTAGCTTTCTGCAAAAGTGACTCCCCGCGTCCTACAGCCCTCTGCCCTTTTCCCACACGCCTGCAAACATTTCTTCATCAGATAGTGTGGTTTGTGTGTGAAACAAACTTCCAGAGGAAGTGGCAGATGCAAATACAGTTACAACATTTAAAAGACATTTGGATAAGTTCATGAATAGGAAAGATTTGGCAGAACATGTGCCAAGCACAGGCAGGTGGGACTAGTTTAGTTTGGGAATGCGGTCAGCATGGTTTGATTGCACCAAAGGGTCTGTTTCTGTGCTGTATGACTCTTATATTAATCCACTTCCATGTTCTGAAGACTGTGATTGAATCAGCTCACCACCCTCTCACTTACACATCCTTGCCACTCTGTCCAGGTACATCTGTTTCCTCATTTGCCTTTTCTCAATGACCTTAAACTATCACCCTGTGCGTCTTCACCCTTATGGCAATGGGAACAGTTCATTCCCTCCCCGGTTTCCATCCGCTCCTGATATTCGAACAGATCGAACTCAAACCAAATCTCCTCTCAAACCTCGTCTCTCCTCCCAGGGGAAAGAGCCCTGACTTCATCCACATCACTCAAATTCTTCATCCCCTGTAACCATGATCCTCAATCCTGCCTGCACCTTCCTTCCTAAACCTGTGATGCACAGAGCTGGCCACAAACACCCCCCACCCCCACCCCCGCTAAGCTGAAGTGACCCTTTCTCTTGCACAGGTTTCCCATAAGGTCCCTGCTACTTTGCTGTATCGACTGTTTGTTCAAACCTGGAGGTTTGCTCCCTCATCCAGCACAGTAGCCCAATCCAGTTACATTGCTTGTTGTGGGATTTTGTTATCGATTCACCAGAGTGACCTTTCCTTCACTTGAAAGCAGATGGCAACGTAATGGGTACAGTGTAAGCGAAATTTAACACATGGTGAGGCTAACTTGCTTGGTAGAGCGCGGCAGCTTTAGACCAGGCCGAGAGAAGGTTTCCCCAGCTCACGTCTGGGTTGGTCGTAGGCTGAACAATGGAGATTGATCCTTCTAACGAACAAGTTGCTCCATCATTCCACCACTTGATTGTCCATCGATTCACATTTTCCGATGTGGCTAAGTCAGCCACTCTGACGGGAACTGCCACTCAAAAACCTCCAGCATGCCCTTAATGCGTTATTACTGTACCACGTGGAACCAAACCATCAAATGTGGCACAGCCAGAGGCCTGCTCGGCCTGTTGAACTTGCACTGACTCTCTGAAACAAACAGTTACACACCCGCCTCTGGCCGCAAAGGCTCACAAAGGATTCCTCAACCCACTTTCTGTGGCTGCTCAGTCTGCTTCCAGGCGGAACATTCCAGATCACAACAAGTCGCCCACTGAAAAGCCAAACTGAACTGTCTCAATTTCATCCCCACATACCGTGTGGCTTCTGGTGATGCTTTTTTTTTAAATATTCATTCACAGGATTTGGGCTTCACTGACTATTTATTACCCAATCTTCATGACAACAGGGTCAACCACTCATTGCTGTGGGTCTGGAGTCACATGTAGGCCTGGAGTCACATGTAGGCCAGATTGGGTAAGGATGGCAGATTTCCTTCCCTAAAGGACATTGGTGAACCAGATGGGCTTTTCCGATAAATTGATTCAAGGTTAGACTCTTAATTCCAAAGATTTACTGAATTCAAATTCCACCATCTGCCATTTTACTTTGGTTTCTGGATTAATATTCTGGTGCTAATACCACTAGTCCATTCTCTCCCAACTTTCCCGTCAGTGAGAATTGTTTTAGACTCTCAAAACTCCTCATCCCTATTGACTTGTGCAGCCTGTGCTTCAGTGGTTAGCACTGCTGCCTCACAAAACCAGGAACCTGAGCTCAATTCCACCCTCGGGTGACAGTCTGTGTGGAGTTTGCACATTCTCCCCGTGTCTGTGGAGTTTCCTCCAGGTGCTGCGGTTTCCTCTCACAGTCCAAAAATGGGCAGGTTAGGTGGATTGGCCATGCTAAATTGCCCAAAGTGTTCAGGGATGTGCAGGTTAAGTGGATTGGCTATGATAAATGCGGGGTTACGTGGATAGGATGGATGGATGCTCTTCGGAGGCTAGGTGCAGACTCGATGGGCCAAATCAGATTTAATGATTCTAAATCTTGATTCAATCTCTTGTCCACTCAGAAGATTACTATCCCTGTTTCTGCAACCTCATTGATTCACTGGAGTTACTCAGTCTGAGGTCATGATGGACAGTGGAGGGGTGGTGAAGACAGAATTAAATCCTTCAAAAAGTGCAAATATTAAGGGAAGATTTGTTTGGGATTGTGGGGGACGTGAAGGTTTGAGTTTGCAATGATAAGTAAGCTACTCAGTACCACAACAACCACTGACCTGACAACATCACCATGGTGATTGCCATGCCAGAGTTGCTAGGCAATAGAAACAGGATGAGTCCTACGCAGAGAGAAGAGATTGGGATTTCAAAACTGCCAGAAAAGGATGATTTAACTCTGTTGGTTCTGGTCTCGTTTGTCTCGAGACTTTAGGAGAAATATTGAATTTGAGGGAGTAGGGTTACGGAAAATGAGGATGGGTTCACTGTCTCAAGGGCAACTGGGGACAGGCAATAAATGCTGGACCAGCCAGCGACGCCCACATCTCGTCATCGAATTTTTTAAAAACCCTACTCTACCCTTTTTCCAGAAGGGTCATAGAACTCTTCACACCAAGCAGCCCGGGAGACTGGGCATCAGTTCTACATCTCCTCTCAAGGACACCATATTCTACACTGGAGTGTCAGAATGTGCCCATTACTTTAGGTACTGAAAACCTCTGGCACCTACTTTTATTCTGTTTAATATGGTTAATGCGAGAAACCATTTCCTTTAATGAGACATTAACAATATGATGGATCATAATGGGCAGAATCTCCTACACTCCTCCAAAGCATATACCATAGTAATGGGAGGGGGCATTTATTACTACCTCTCCACAGCATTCAAAATACTACACCCTTCCTTGAGATTTCTCAAAGTCCACAAGACGTGGAGCAGAAGTAGGCCATTCAGCCCATCCAGTCTGCTCTGCTATTCAATAAGATCGTGGCTGATCTGATAACCCTCAAATCCACTTTCCTGCCTTTTCATCACAAACCTCAATTCCCTTACTAATGAAAAATCTGTCTCTCTCAGCCTCGAATTTACTTAATGACCCAGCCTCAACTGTCTTGACAGAATTCCACGGATTCACTATTCTCTGATAGAAGGAATTCCTCTTCATCTCTGTCTTAAATGTGTGACCCTTTATTGTGAGAAGTTGCCCTCTGCTCCTAAACTCTCCTACAAGGGTAAACAACCTTTCCACATCTCTCCTGTCTAGCCCTCTGAGATACTTGTGTTTCAATAAGGTCACCGCTCATTCTTCTAAACTCCAATGAGTACAGGCCCAACATTTTCAACTTCACCTCATAAGACAGTCCCTCCATACCTAGGATCAGCTGAGTAACCTTCTCTGGACTGCCTCCAATGCCAGTATATCTTTCCTCAGATAAAAGGCCCAAAACTGTTCACAGTATTCCAGGTGTGGTCTGACTAGTACCTTGTAGTAAAACCTCCCTACTGTTATACTCCTTTCCCTCTGAAAGGAAGGCCAACATTCCATTTGCCTTCCCTATTACCTGCTGAACTTGGGTGCTGGTTTTTTTTGTGATCTGTTCACAAGGACTCCTAAATCGCTATATTCTTTCTGATGTCTTTCTCCATTTAAATAATAGGCGGTTCCTCTATTCTTCCTGCCAAAGGGTCTAACCTCACATTTTGCCACGGTTATATTCCAACTGCCCAAGTTTTGTCCCATTCACTTAACCAGCCTATACATACCCCTTCGCAGATTCTGTATCATTCTCACCACTTGGCCTTCCCACTTCTCTTGCCGTTCTTTGAGTCCTTAACTTCCTCCTCTCCCATGACCCCACCCTTGCAGTTCCTCTTTCTGTACTTTGTGGCCTGATTCTTCCCTGTTGGCACTTCCAGCCTTACTCCCAGCCCTCCCAGACCAACCTCAGTGCCCCCTCTCCCTACTTACAAAGCATCCTCCAACTCATTGCTGTCCCAACCACAGGCTGTCCCTCTCCTGCACTTGTGAGTATATATCTATGTGTGCGTCTGCGCATGAGAGTGGGTGAGTGTGCGTCCGCGCGTGTCTGTGTCTCTGCGTGAGAGTGCGCGTATCGGTGAGTGTGTGTCTTAGAAACTGCTCCCTCTGGTTAAACATGTTCCTGAGGTTTCACTCCATGGCCTCCAGGAGGCCCAAAGGCTCCCCCACAGATACCCTGATAAACTGCAGATGTGTCCACACCCTGCTGTTCCTGTATGGTCCCCAACACACAACGTTCCAATGGCAGTATCAGCTGGTCCCCAGATACCAGGCCCAGTGAACACACAGATGTTCCTCAAGCCCTTGTGCTTGAGCCATATTTAAAAACTCAACATCCTTTGGATGTCCCAAAAGCCCCACAGTTACAGCCAGAAAATCTCTCAGCTCAATCCCTGCTGGGTACAAACAGCTGCTTTCGGGGGATGGGGGTGCTCTTGTCTGTGAGCGACTGAACTCTGCCAGAGATATCCCACAATCTGACTCTTCGGAGCTGAACAGATGAAGTGCTGCACTGTCAGAGGAACCATCCGTCAACTGAGATGTCAAATCCAAGCCCCACTTGCTGGAAAGAATTGTCAGCCAAAAGCTCATTGAACATCCAGGCCACTCTTTATCCCTCAACTAACATCACACACACACACACACACACAAAAAAACACTCTCATTGATCCCATCAGATCTTCAAAGATTCGCTGAAACGTTCCCACATTTTACACTGCATTGAGTGCCTGTTTTAGTCCCTGCTGAGGTTTTTTTTTTTTTTTTTTCGGGGGTGGGGGGGGCGTGGGTGATTACATTTCTTAATTCCTCCCCCCTCCTGCAAATTGACATCCTCTTTACTTTGTCTCTCGAACCCACCCTGGGATACATTTCCGCAGGTCCAGGTGACTCTCCAGTCCCAGGCCATTCGTCCTGCGCAATCCCATGTGGTGACAGTATGAACTGTTCAACTGGGGGAGGCATCATGGTCCACCACCATAAGCCCTGCTGAACAGGGGAAAGGAAGGAGCGGTGCAGTGAACGTGGTAGCGCTAGCGAACGGGGAAATCGCACGTTTTCCTCGCCGCTGACAAACCCCCCCCCCTCCCCGAATGTGGGGCCCCAAGGTCGCCGTGGTGACGCCGGCCAACATTTTTGGGTTAGCGGTGGGTGGCAGAGGTAGGTGCTGCCGGCTACCTGTAATGCCTGGTGTCCCGGATTGCTCGGTCACTGGGGAGCCGGTCACTCTCCTGCTGGTTGAAGGCGTGGCGTCCGTAAGGATCATCCCCAGGCTTCAGTGGCTTACTCGAAAGGTAGGCCTTCTCGTCAAAGGTCTGAGCATGACCCCCATCGAGCCACACAGCCTTGGTCACCTGCAAGAGAAGGAAGACGGTCATTTCTCCAATACCTTCCCACAGCCTTGGCCCCACCCTTGCCGCCTGCGCTGTCCTTTTCTGAAATGTAGCTTCCGGCTCAGAGTGGAGTCAGCAATGTGTGACATATCCATCACTGTCCACCTTTATCCCTTGCTGCCTCCAATTACCCTGCCCAGTCAATCACGTCTATGATTACGTCTACAGACTGGATAGATCAGTGACCCTATCCTCAATTTCATGTTCCCGGGAGATAATGCAGCGGTGCCAGGGGCGGGGATGTGTGTTGGAGTACTGGGGGCCAGAGCAGGAGCAGCCCCGCTCCTGGAGGTCTCCTCCTTCACCAGACGGAATTGTTGGGATTTTCATCTGCATCCTCACATAAGGGATATTTGCCAATGACATCCAATGCAAGAGATGGACAGATCGAAGCACGTAGTGGTGGGCAAGGCAGTGGGTTAAAAATCCTTTGGAGTTAACCCCACGTTGGATTGGAGTATTGACTGGATGTCTGCAGGAGACCAGGGTTAAGGCGTTACACTGTGTGGACCAGGGTCCCACACTCCCTTGAATACCAAGGAGTGAAGGGATGATCTCATTGATTAGGGTTGGGTACAGAAAGTGAGACACTGGAGGAGGAGCCCATAACAAGAGGACTTCAACCTACAATGAAAGATGTCGTCCAGTCAGGGGAAATCTCAGCAAGCACTCCTTCACACAAATGGAATGTGAAGTTCTGAAACTCGCTACCCTGAAAAATGTTCTTATCATCAGAACTAGGAACAAGAGTAGGCCATTCAGTCCTTTGAGCCTGCCCCACCATTCAATGTGATCGCAGTTCCCTGTTCCCGCTTTCTCCCCATACATTTTGATCTCTGTAGACCTAAGAACAAGAACTCCTTCTTGAAAATATTCAATGTTTTGTCCTCAACTGTGGTAGAGAATTCCACAGGCTCGCTGCTCTCTGGGTGATGACATTTCTCCTCATCTCAGTCCTAAATGGCCTACCCCTGTATCCTTAGACTGTGATCATCAGGAACATCCATCCCTGTCTAGTCATTGTCATACAGCACGGTAACAGACCCTTTGGTCCAATTCATCCATGCCAACCAGGTTACCCAAACTGAACTAGCCCCACTTGCCTATATTTGTCCCATATCCCTCTAAGCCTCTCCTATCCACGTACCTGGCCAAATATCTTTTCAACGTTGTAATTGTACCAACCTCCACCACTTCCTTTAGCAGCTCATTCCACTTACGTACCACCATCTGTGTAAAAAAGTTGCCCCTCTAGAATTTTACGGGTTTCTATGAGATCCACCTCATCCCTCCCCCTCCATTCTTCGAATGACACTATTTGAGTTTGGGAGGAAATTGAAACTTCCACATCTGAGATTGATTTTTTTTTACTCAAGGGTAATGATGGCAACAGATCAAAGGCAGCTACATGGGGCGAAGGTCAGTCATAATCTAATGGAATGGCACAGGAAGGTCAGGGAACTAAGGCTGAGATGGCAAAGGTTTAAGGCAGCTATGCACGGAGGTTTCATGTGGACCAGTAAACGGGGATGGTACAAATTATACAACTAAGTCATTTGGCAAACACATTGCTCAGGCTTCCTTGTTGACTGCTGTCCAGGGACAAGATGTACAGCATCGTTTAACAAATGGAAAACTTCAGACAGACTCAGTGTGAATTGACTCATCTCTGCCAAGAAAACAATAAAAGATACAAAATGCTTTTTATTTTTGTGTTTACCGTGCTTGATCTGAGCTCAGCCTTTCGATCTTGCCTTCAGTGGGAGCCTCAGCTACAACAACTGTAGACTCATTATGTGGCACCCCACCAAGCGGCAAAACATATGTCCAGTCACTTCCCAGGGTATTACCAGATCGGTTTTGACACAGGGGCTCAGAATGAGAACTTTACAGCACAGTCAAAGAGGTATTGGTTTCAAATTACATGGCCAGAGAGAGACAGAGAGAGAGAGAGAGAGAGAGAGATTGAGGGAGGAAATTCCGGAGCTTAGGGCCTCAGACACATCCTGCCAACAGCGGAACGATGGGAATCGAGGAGAAGAGGGAGTGGGGCAAGAGACTGGAATCGGAGGAGAGCAGAGATCTTGAAGAGTGGCAGGGTTGGGACAGACAGCTCTGAAGAAGAGTCATCTAGACTCGAAACGTTAGCTTGCTTTCTTTCCATGTATGCTGCCTGACCCGCTGTGATCTCCAGCATTTTTTGTTTTCAGCACAGGATAACAGAATTGTTCTGGTGCTCCAGGAGGTCATTCATACACAGAGTCTATTCCCCAGTGCTAATCTCCTGTGGACATCCCTGTACGCCATTCCTATCAAAATAGCCACGCAAACCAGGGACGGACAGCACGTGAGAACCATATCAAAACCAAAAGAACTGTGGATGCTGTAAATCAGGGAAAAGATTGAGGAAGGGTCACTGGACCCGAAATGTTAACTCTTGATTTTTTTTCTCCACAGATGCTGCCAGACCTGCTGAGCTTTTCCAGCAACTTCTGTTTTTGTACCCGAGAACCATAACCGTTTTACTGAATTGCAATTTTGCCTCAAGACATTTGATGGCCTATATAGGGAGGGACAACAGGGCAAACCTTTTACCATTGACGTTCTGCCCAGACGTTTAGTGAGATAGTGTGGCAAAGCAGCCGGTGCTGGGAGAAACAGTGAAGATTGAGCTGGTTCAAACTTTCTTACTGAAAGGGCAGCTGGGGTTTAATTTCCAGCAAATGTAACCCAAAGCTGCTTGTAACAAGTGAGTGGACGGAAGCCAAAGAATTAAAAGTCTGTAAAAGCTGCCCTGTCAGGAAGGGATCAGCTCGCAAAGCGAGACAGATCGAATGTACAGAAACCGCATAACTTTACAATGGAGTGAGGAAGCTATGGAGAGAGACAGGGAAATTGTTCAGAACGGGTATCCCTGTCAGCCCAATTCAGGACTGGCACGCCCCAGCATGCTCACACCCGCCAACTTCCAGACCCGACTCAGAGTGCCCAGCTTCGTACACTCTAACCTCTGGGTCAGTGTAGCCCACAACTCTTGTGCCAGAAAACACACAGGGCAGAATTAGTAAGAACTGCTGATGCTGGAGTCAGAGAAAACACAGTGTGGAGTTGGAGGAACACAGCAGGCCAGGCAGCACCAGCGCAGGAAAGCTGACATTTCGGGTCTGGACCCTTCTTCAGAAATGGGGAAGGGAGATCTGAAATAAATAGAGAGAGGAGGGCTGGGACTGGGGAAGGTAGGTGGGATGGTGATAGGTGAGTGCAGGTAGGGAGTGGTGGGGATTGGTCAGTGAGGTGGGAAGGTTGGAGGATAAGTGGGAGAGAAGATGGACAGGTTGTGTCAGGTCAAGGAGGCGGGGATGGAGGGAGGGTTGGATATGGGATGCAGCCGGGGTTGGGGAGATTTCAAAACTGGTGAAATCCACGTTTAGGCTATCCGTCTGCAGGAGCAGGGGTCCTGCTGAGGGACAGACACTGGAACAAAACAGCGAGCGTGTAAAAAGAATGGGGCATTTTGCCACGATCGGGGAAGAGTCTACTTTCTTCGTTGCGGTGGGCAGCTCAGAAGCCGAATGCGCTCAACGACTGGCAACGTTTGATTTCCATTGTCGGAATGCGAATGAATGATGTAGATTTCAGGGTACATGTCGGCTAAGCTCCTCGCTGGTCCCCCAACTTTCATAGCCCGCCCTAACCTCCTTCAGCTGCCTGGGCCTTGACCTCAGGAAATTCTCTCCCAATCTTCCTTGACACCATCCCCCCTACTCTTTCAGCAATTTCTGGGCCAGCTGTCTAAACACAAATATACAAATTAGGAGCAGAGTGCCTCAGGCCTGCTCCAGTTCAAAGGCAGGCCTGGTCACTTCATTCGACCCGATGACCTCTGTCACCCCCTTCTTAATCAGGAATCTATCTGTGCTGCCTTAACAGCGTTCAAAGACTCTGCCATCACCGCCTTTTCAGCAAGATAGATCCAAAGACTCACGAGCCCCTGAGAGAAAACATTATTTCCTCTCATTGTTTTAAAACATTGTTTTAAATGGAAGGCCTCTTACTTTTAAACAGTGACCCCGCGCTCCCCCCATCCCAGCTCTGGATTCTTTCACAAAAGAAAACACCCTCTCCACATCTACCCCTGGATCACCCTGACCCCTTCTGTCCCCAACAACCTCCTCATCTGTCTCTGATTAAGAAATTCTTTGTTTGATTCTGAGCTGACGGATGTATCTCAGCATCGGCCAACAGACTTAAGAAATCCGCCCATAAACCCTCACTCCTGGGATTCACCTTCCATTCCTCAGGAACACCGCTGTTTTGGAAGCATTTGATTCCCAGACAAAAGAACAAATGGAACGAATCAAGACAGAGGTTTCTAGTCATCTAAGCTTCCTTTCCGGACTAACCAACTGTTCTGGGATCCCAAATTTCCCTGGGACACTTCATCAGCCCCATTATTTTATTGACACTGGTTTTACAAGCTGTAATGTTTTAAAATTGAAAAGACATATACACAGAGTTCTCTATTACTTCTCTTAAAGCAGACATACTTCTGCAAAGGGCTTAGGATGAACCAAGGGAAACCGCAGAATTGTACTTGAAAGTGTCCTTCTCTCATTGAAGAGGCAATGGCCTAGTGGCATTACCACTGGACTAATAATCCAGAAACTTGGCTCATGATCTGGAGACATGGGTTCAAATCCCACCATGGCATTCAATAACACTGAATTCAATGAAAATCTGGAATTAAGGGTCTAATGATGACCATGAATCCATTGTCAATTGTCAATCTAGATTACTAATGCCCTTTAGGAAAGGAAACTGCCACTCTTTACCTGGTCTGGCCTACATGTGACTCCAGACCCTTGACTCTTAATGCCCCTTCTGGGCAATTAGAAATGATTAATAAATGCTGGCACAGCCAGCAACACCTTCATCCCATGAATGAACAAAAATACATTTTA